CTTGAGACTTTAGTACCTTCAGAGTTGCATAATAATTAACATTAAAATCTATAATCCTCTTACCCTCCTTGGGGAGACTGGAATACTCCAAGAGTGAAAAATTTTCTTAACTGTCATAAGCTGAGTATTTGAAGCCCAGTATTGTTTCAGGTTGAACTCAGGTACTGTACAAAGAACCTCTGAAAGCATTTAGTGGAAGCTACAAAATGAGAAACTTATACAGAAATGTAAATATAGGAGATGGAGATGAAGATGGAGAAGGATATTGAAAGAGGGAGAAAAGAGAGAGAAACAGGGGTGTGTAAGAGAAAAAGAGAGAAAGAGGGAAGAAGAATTAAAAAGAAGTGTGTGTGTGTGCGCGTGCACAGGTGTGCACTTATTTGAGTAGATCCACATAACCTCTTGTATTTACATCAATGCTTTCTGAATTTGATTCAGAAACCTATAACTTCATATTGAAATTATGTTTCATGCTTATCTTCTTTGTTTATGTGAGCTGCTAACAGGTAAAGTCTATGACTCATTTATACTATCACAAAACTCAATTCATTATGTTGAATAAGTAAATGTCGAAAATAGCTCAAATCTAAATTGCGGGGTCTTTGTAATATCAATTTCCCATTTGTCTACATAGTGTAGCCTATAGAACAACACTGACCTCCTATTTCACTCTACAGTTTTCCACTTGCAAATGTGGGCAACTTGATAACCTATTGTTTCTTCTATATGCCATTTATAAAGTGGAGCTATTGCTGGGTGCAGAGGTGCACACCTGTAATCCCAGAAATTCTGGAAGATAAGGCAGAAGTATTACAAGTTCAAGACCTGTGTTAGTAACTTAGGGAGGCCCTAAACAACTAAGTGAGATCTGTCTCAAAATTTCAAATAAAGTAAAATTAAAAGGTGTGGGGATGTAGCTCAGTGGTTAAGCACCCCTGGGATCAATCCCTAGTACCAAAAATTAATTAAAATCAGTTACAAAATTATATTTAAAAATAAAGTTATTTCCCTATCCAACCTGAAGGATTGCCCTGAAGATTAAACATAATATGTTAGCACTCAGAAGAGTGATTATTAAACACTGTTACTATTAAAAACAACATAAAAAATAAAAGCAAATTAAGCCAATGAATAAGACAATTATTCCTTTTCATGGTGATTATTTCTCCTTTGTTAATTAAATCATCACAAGTAATATACTGAATTCAAAAATTATTGTTTATTATTTATGTCTGTTAGATTAATTTTGATTATATTGTATCATTTTTTATTACAACAACAACCAAACACCAGCCTGTGGAATGGAAGCTCTGTGACAGTGTTGGATAGTAGGATTTTCACTACCATTGAAAGAACAAAAAGACACTATGTCTTATGCTCATGAGAAATCATCCTTAATAACAAGAAAATATCATGAGTTGTCACTTGAAAAATATTTATAATTTTCCTAGCACCTGAAAAAACATTTTTAGATTGTTTCATTTAAATATTGATATGACTTCCATGAGTAGATAATTAAGATTTCTAAGTTGAAAAAAGTCTTCCCTGCATTTATATTCTTAGATGTATCACTTACTATTTCCACTTACATAAAAATTACTATCACATGATTCCATTGGCACATGTCACAGTATCAATAGGTTCCTAAGCCTCAGCAAAACAGAATTTTGCARGATATCAAAACTATGATAATTACCTTGCTTGTTCTTAATTTGCATATTATAGAAATTTTAGATATTTTTGCTGGCTAATAAATGCAGTTTAATCTACCCATACCTATATTAATTTCCTCTTAATAACAATATTATTGAGGATTATGAATGATCAACTGATGTTTCTAAAAATGCATTCATTGATCCTTTAAGGTTACCAGATAGGTCATTTTCTTGGTAAGAAAAAAATATGACTCTTCATTCTAATATAATTTTTAAAATGTTGTGCACTGTGGAAAAAAATATCAAAATTGATTTTTTTGCAAGATAATAGTATATTTTAAAATATATGTAGTAAATAATAAAAATATACTATATTGGCTCTGAATCTCTGAAAATATCTTGAGAAAATTTAAAATATAAAAGTATTTCTAAAAATATTTGTTATCTCTAAATATATTCAATCCAATTTTTCCTAGTTGTAACTGGAGCAATTATCTGTCAGTTACAACAACATCCCCAGGAATGAAACTCCCTATCGAAGAGATTTTAAATAGTGCATGTATGCTTACATTTAGCAAGATCACTCTAAGTATAATTATGGATATAAAGGAGAAAAGGAAGTGGAATGATCTCAAGAGAAGTCATATCATTTAAGTGAAAGATGGCTTCTCTGAATTTAGATTAATTAGATTGGAAATTAGAATATAAGAACTATTAAAAAGGTAGAGGTATAGGCATGGAGGTGCACACCTGTAATTCCAGGTACTTTAGAAGCTGAAGCAGGGCAAACTGTCAGAAAAGAGAATATAGAGCAAATTACTTCATTGTTAGAAAGCAACAACAAGGGAAGGCTGTCTAGCTTTTACTATGTAGCACTATCATTTATTTGGAGGTGACTATTTTACCCTAAACTAATTTCTACACTTAAAAGCTCAAGGATCAACTAATTGATGTCCTTTAAAGTATGAACTTTGGGAAAATATTCAGATGGCCAGTGTGTGTGTAGGTAAATGAGTATTATTTATATCCTCAGAAGAACTGATAAATTAGAAAACTGGAAGAGGATTTATATTTGTGAACTGTATTGCATCCCATAAATTCATATACTTTTTCCTGTTCAAAATGAAATTTTTTATTTTACCAATTATAAAAGGAATATATCCTGATATTAAAAACTTCAGCAACCCAGAAAAAAGTACTGATTCTTGCCACCCCAAAGTAAGCACTGTTGACATTTTGTTGATATTTTTATATTTATATTTATCACTTTTTTGCAACAAAAGTCACGGACAATTTACCATATGAATTAAAATGTATATAGCATCAGTTTTAGGATTATACAGTAAGTTAATCAGTTCTCCATTGAAATTTTGTTCATTACTTACTCATTTCACTATGATATAGAATACTGCAGTAAACACCCTTATGTTATATATTCTGTTCAATTTCTCTACAGAACAAATTTTTAGAATTTCTAAATATGTATATATATATATATTTTTTTTTCACATGCCTGTAGTTTAGTGGTCTACTTTAATATTATGTAACTTCTGATTGTATTAAACATGTTTAATTTTTTAGATGACTAAAGTAAATTACTGTAGTATAATAGGAATGTATGGCTTATTTAACTTTGATTTTAAAAATCATTCATAAATCAGGCAATACACACTGACAACAATATATTTCGTTGTTATTATTTTCTATGTATTCTTAAAAGAAACAATCGTTCACTTGGGGGAATAATGATTAACAGCTCAACTGTTAATCAAATGCTCAGGAGAAAATTTTTTTAAAAAAAAAACATTCAAATGTGTAATTAACATGGGATAGCACATACCCTACATCCAGTATCATGGACTGATTACAGTATTTCCCACATAGCTGCTTGTTCTGATCAATTATTGATGAAAGATGAGAAAAACAAAATAGCTTGCCAATTAAAAGAACAGTAAGTTGCAAAGATTAATACTTTATCCCAAATACATATTTCAAGTCACATATGTGGGTTAGCCCGTGTATTTCTTCAAAAAAAAAAAAGCTGCCAGCAGGAATAATACCCTTCAAGAGATTTCCAAACTTTTGTGTTTTGTCTCCTTTAGAAATGATGTAATAGAGTTAGAAGGAACTGATGTCCAGTTATACATAATTGACTCAGTTGGATAGTAGAAATGTATGACTCATGGGTGTTAATCCACTCTTTTCTACAACACAGTGCCTCCCCATGCATGCCAGGCAAGCGCGTTACTGCTTGAGCCACATCCCCAGCTCCAACTTGTTATCTTTTTAAAGCAGAAGACTTTGTGGTATTTTTCATAGAATAAGTGGGACACAAAATTTATCTTGATGACTCAAGATTATTGTTACATATGTGCTTATTTTATTATGGGGAAATGGTGAGACACCCTGTAGTAATGTTGAGTTATAAAAGTAATGTCTGTTTCTAAATACCCCAACTCTTTGTTATATTAAATCATATTGTTGGCCTTGTAAGGAGTGCCAGATGTAGTTTCTCCTTGCGGTCAAACTTGGAGTTGTCCCTTACTTGCGTGTGCCTGCCAATAAATCCATTCTAATTTTTGATTTTCACCTCTTTTTGGTAATATAGTTGAACAGTCAAGCTAATTGAAACTTAATTATGTTCACCTGTAATTCTGTGGCTTCATAAAGGCTTGCAGATGCTGATATGCTTTATAGAAGCTAGACTAGAACTTTGTGGCAGCTACCTCATCACCTATTAGATTTATGTATTTATTCAGTAGAGTTGAATTTATCAAAAGTTTAGATACTATTGACTTTTTCTGACAATTGGCACTGTATTGGTAATTTTACAAGAGAAGATGTGCTATCCCAGTTTTTCTACCAGACCTTTTTTTTTTGTAGTCAAATTTTCCAGGGCAGAATTTTCATACAGTAAGATGTAGACATTTTTAGTTTGATGAGGTATGGCAAATGTGTACACTGCTGTAACAGCTCAAGATACAGAAAACACATTTATCCAAGAAAGATTTTCCATACATCTTTGTGATCACCCTTTCCCTCCAGTCGTTTGTCCAATCACCAATTTATATTTAGTTTAACACTTCTCCATGTAAATGGTTTTGCCTTATGTACTCTTTTATGCCTAGCTTCTGTCACTCAACAATGTCTGCCAGTAGCATTGCTTCCTTTAATTTTACTGCTAAGTAGTATTCCCCTATGGATATGTATTCCCACAATTTATCCACTTATCTGTTGGTAGACATTAAAAATCAAGATTTTAGAACACAGGCCATCAAAAAGACTAACTTCATCCTCAGACTTTCAGCAACACTTTTAATAGTTATTCACTTAGCTGATGCCTTCTTATAACACTTCTTTCAGTGTTCCTGCTGCTGCTTGAATTGTGAAAACTGCAATAGAAATATGTTTCTTTACTTTTGCCCAGGCCAAATGAGGGTCTGCTTTATTATCAATATCAAACATAGCATCATAAACCCCAGGAAATGATTCTCCAGCATATTTGTTGTGGCTACTTGGAGCAAAAATGATGTGCCTAAAAGAAAATATTCTTATTATTTAAAACAATTGGAAATGAATTACTACCATAACTATATTCACTTCAGAAGTTATGTGGGAAAGTGAAAGGGTGCAATACGTTATATATTCACTTAATAAAGTAGCCTTTACAATCATACATGGAAAAAATATTCCTATACCACTGCAGTACACAAACTCCGTAATGTAACAACTTTAGAATATACTTTTAATATTTAGTTAATAGTCAAAAATGTATTTTTAAAATACAGTGTAGGCCAGTCACAGTGGCATATGCTTGTCATCCCAGTGATTCAGAAGGCTGAGGAAGAAGGATCATAGGTTTGAGGCCAGCCTCAGCAACTTAACAAGAACCTGTCTCAAAATAGTAAAAGCATCCCTGAGTCCAATCCCCAGTACCAAAAAAATAAAATTAAAAAATCAGTGTAATTTTTTTGGAGATTAGGTTGTAGTAACCTCATCAAATTTTAAAATGTGTTGGTCCTTAGACCCTGAAATCCCAAGTCCTAATTATGGAGATAGTAAATGTTCAAATAGGACACAACAATGACTTACTTCCATATATATTTATTATGTCCTATAGTAATAAATAACTGGGAGAAAAGACTCAAAGTGCCTAGAACAAGTGAGGCACTGGGTTTGATCCTCAGCACCAAATAAAGATATAGCGTTGTGTCCATCTGCAAGTAAAAAAAAAAAAATTAATTTAAATAAGATAAATTATAAAATGTGAGCCATATAATATAGCAGTAGGCTGCAGATGAAAAGAGCAAAACTATACAGTAACATAGAAAGCTAAAAGAGATTATTAAGGGAAAAAATATGTAAACTCCTATATGGTTCCATTTATCTTTAAGTAAAGAAATGTTCATATTATAATGTGTGCATGTATATGTATGCAGGTAATATGTGTACTATAAGTAAATGTATACATATATACGTGAATACAATTTATGCGTAATTACATGTAAACAATATATACAGATTATAATGATACACATTTCATATATTCATACATATATATATATATACATATATATATATATATATATATATATATATAGTGTGTGTGTGTGTGTGTGTGTGTGTAAAGAAATTCCCAGTAAACACTGAATTTCAATCAAAATAGTGGGACTGAGTGAAATATAGGAGGGAGTGATGAAAATGCCTTGTCTCTTTTTTTTTCCTATGTGCTCCAATAAAGACTGATATTTTTATATTTTAAAATAATAGGTGTTTGATTATATATAATAGAAATTTAAAGAGACTAATAACAAGATTATAGATACTGTTTTTAACTTTTTGATTTATATACTTAACTAATTGTCCTATTTCATTTGCATGAGTAAACATTTATGTTCTTATTTACAATTTATAAAACTAACTGCCATTTACTGAGTGTATGCTTCTTTAATTTTGCCTCGCTCACACTTATTATGTAACAGAGCTGGGCTCCATAAACTTCTTATAATTACTTAAATGTTAATAATAATCACTGACATTTAGAAAAGTAATGTATACAACAATTTTTGGCATGTTATTTGTTGATAGATAGCCTTAGCAATTAACATCATCTTAATTGAGATAGGAAAGCCATGGAAGCCACTTAAACTAAATCTCACATCTGTAAGTGAACTTGATCATATATTTTATGACTTTACATTTTAGGACCTTTCTAATTTTCACAAGAAACCATAATTTACAAAGGACCTTGAGAAAACATAACTGATATACAAAAAGAAAACCATTATATTTCTTTAGAGGAACATGGCAGCCATCTTTAAAAAACCCAAAATGTTATATGGAAATGTTACTCTACTTTGGAGAAAAGATCTGGTTCAAAGGGAGAACATTACAGAATAATAGATTTCAGATCTTTATGAAGAAAGTTTTGTAATAATGAGACCTTCTCTAACAGACTGAACTTCCTCATGAAGTAAGCTTCCCATCCTGTATATGTTAACTGAGAATCTGTAAGGATTCATGTAGATAGTTCAACTAGCTGAACTCTCTAAGATCTCCTTTTAAATTCTATGGCTTGATAATTTTGTTATAAGAGTTCTTATTCAATCCTCACCATTTGTAGAAAAATGTGTAATTTTTTGGTATTATGTATTATACTAGTATTAGATGCATAATATGCCCATGTTTCCTTCAGTATACATAGTCACCCTCTATTCATTTAATAATAACAGTTTACAGCAGGCTTTGGGTATTTTTTTTTTCTTGTCAAAGTGAGGTATTTGGTACCCTTTAGTGGATTCCATACTGTTTTCCTTACCTATAGAACTGTCTCCCTGGTAAACCAAGGGGATGAATGAATGCTCTTTCCAGAAGCATCAATTGGTCATTCATAATTCTCACTGCAATGGGACTTTGAGAACAAGAAATATGTAATTAAAACCTTTACTATAGAACCATATTTAAAATAATATTAAATAAAGATGACATGGAAAAATAATTAAAATCAATATATTTTTCTTTTTAACAAAAATGCATATTAATCCAGTACTGCTTTACATGATAAACTACATAGCAAGGTCATCA